CTACAGGCAGAAGACAAGCAGAACCCATTGGTGGATTCTCCATCGTCATGCTGAGAAAAGGCGTTCAGGTAAGACAATGCCCCTTTTCTGATTTCAGTTTTCAAAAATCTCCTTTAGTATTTTCATTGTTAGAAGGTTTTGCAACATTTTACAAGTTTGTAAATCTTTCTTCTCCCTAAAATCTTTGGTCCCCTCTAGCGTTCAGTTTTTGAAATCATGAAATTACTTAACTTTGCTTTGTGTTGTAAAAACCAAGACAGAATCTATTTCTGATAAGAAGTTACTTATTCTTTATAATTAATTTCAAAATCTGTAATAAATGTAAAAAATTGAATATTCCAATTTTATCTGACTTCTTAGTCTATTTATAACTTTGATCTCAGAGATCAAAATCTTGCTTAGGTTTTTTTTGCTGTTTATTTCAGATTATTTACATTCTTCAATTTATGATTAAAATTTTCATTCAGGATTGAATGTAGACTCACCTGGTGTTTTCAACATCATTCCAGTGGTCTCAAATAGCTTAGATGTAGTCAATGAGCAATTTCTGAAAATAATTATGAAGTGAGGTTTGCAAACTTAGTGTCTTTTAAAAGTCTCCACATGGTTGTGAGCAAGATAGCAAATCTGTCAATATCCATCTCGAGAATCCAAATAAAACTCCAGGTTCATTCCGTTTCCAAAATTCTTACTGTTTATTGAACACACGGCATGGTAATGTTGAAGCAAAACTAACTCTGAAGTTCCCAGAAACCAGTTAATAGAATTAAACAATAATTTCTCCGGCCAAACCCCCACCCTCTCATGTAGTTCATGTAAACAATTTCACATTGTTATGGGAACTGTCTGCTTCCTCACCTGCTGTAGTGTGCTTGGAAAGGTTCCAGTCTTTCACGGTCTTCAGTGGCATTGTAGAGATTTTATTTCTCCATCTAACCAATTCTAAAACAACACCTCCCCCTTACTCTAATGGCAAGTTGAAACAAAGAGGCACGTAGCTGCCAAAGTTTCATTCTTGACATATTGACGCCCCCGAAAGAAGAATGAATCTGGAAATCGTTCTTGACATACTCTGTCTAAAATGCATGTGGGCTATCTCCAATCCTCTCCTTATCCATAGTGGTTCCAAGGAACTGGTCTGCTCAATCCCAGATTTTCCTGTAGCCATTTTTAAGAAGTACTGTGTTTCCCCAAAAATAAGACCCGGTCTTATATATATATATATATTTTTGTCTTATTTCCGGGGGATGTCTTACCTGCTTACTTTAGGACTGCTGCAGCCAGGCCTCCCATGACATCAGTCGCGCTGCTGCCTGAGTTCTTCTGTGGCCACTTGTGGCAGCACGCCATATGGTGTATTATGTCACTGAGCTGCTCACACCAGGAGGCTGCATGATTCATTGTGCCAGTGCTGCTGCTCGTGGCAGGAGGTCATGTGGCTCATAGTGCCGGTGCTGCCGCTCGCAGCAGGATGCCATATGGCTCGTCATGACAATCGTGCTGGTGCCACCGATCGCAGCAGGAGGCCATGTGGTATGTTGTACAGTGGCACGCGTGAGGTTAGTCTCAGTCACACTAGCCACCCTAATAGTATGGTGCTAAGCTGCAGCCAGCCCAGCTTAGCAGCATGGTATTCTGCAGTACAGTATGCAGGGTACTCTCACTGCCCTGTACTCCCAACGCCTTGTTTTCTGCCCCCCCTCCAGATGATTTTTGCAATTTTGGCCCTTTGTGAGACAGCTGCTGACCATGCAAGGCCTTCTTCCCAAAGTCCTGCAAGGAACGGGCTATGTACAACCTGTGAGAAGAAGGCCTGGCATGGTCAGCAACTATCTTTCCTGGCCTTCCATGCTCACCTCCTCTTCAACTCCCTCTCCCACTAATTCACTTAAACCCTCACATTTTTGCCCTTTTAGCTACCCTGCACTCTGCTGGCTTTGCCTCTTGCAAGGAAAGCAGATGCCTCATGAAGGGCCAGGCTGGGAGTGCTTTTTCAGCAGTGGGAGCAAGAAGACAACAAAGGCAGTTGGGAGCAGCAGAGTATAGGGCAGCAGGGCAGCAGAGGGCAGGACAGTAGAGATGGCAGAATGCAGGGTGGCCAAAGGGGCAGAGAGGAGGGAAATAGGTGGGTGTGAGGACTTGAAGTTCCTCTGCAGTTGCAAGTGCCAGGGCTGTTTGCCAAGCGCCTGAGTTTGTATCATGTGACTGTAGGGGCATTCCAAAGAGATAACGTGGGAGACTGGGCACAACTACTGTTTGTTCAGCATCACCATAACTCTGAATGGTTGTAAATTAATGGTTGTTAACTAAGTTCAGATTGCAAATCTGCAAGAGCCGTCTGCAGCTGTCATGTGCAATGCAATTTTTGTCTTGAATCCAAAGATTTGCACAGCTTTACTGGTCAACAGCTTTCTGCTGTTGAAACAACTACAGACTAGATACTCTACTGTAAGAGATGTTCTGATCAGGAATTAATAGGATAGGGAACTCTCTCCTGTTTCCAGGCAGATAGCAGCAGGAAGGCCTCATTTGGTAGAAAAAAGCAACACAAGTAAATCAGCCTTTGAAGACGTTCTGCTTATCATTCATTGTTGCTTCCTATATTTAGAGACCAAATTATGATTTCTGATTATGGTTTGTTGCTGGGAAATAGTTTGCTGTAAGGGTCAGATGAAGGTACAGTGACAAGCACAAGTTTTTGTTGTGTGCTGATTTTCCTATTTCCAGGACCAGGAGGCCTTGCTCAAGCGCTCAAGCCTTAGTCATCCTCTATTGGATGACTGCAATATGCTCTACATGGGGCTGGCCTTGAAGACCACTTGGCCATTACAACTATCCAGCATGTAGCAATGCACTCAATTCTGGGTGTTTCATAATTTTCCCACGTTACATTGCTGTTGTACAAGCTGCATTGGCTTTCAGTTCCTTCCAGGTGCAACTTAAAGTGCTGGTTATTGGCTTTAAAGCCATAAATGGCATGACACCAGGTTCTCTGCAGAACCATGTCTCCTTCAGGATAACTGCTCCTACCATCAGGTCAGATAAGGTGGCATACTCCAGTGTTGCCATCTGGCCAATGCCTTGGAGGTGCATCTTTTCCATGGATGCCCTTGTCTTTTTTGGAATAGCTTCTCTGAAATTCAGAGGGCTACTACCCTTTTAACCTTGTGGGAGGGTTGTGAAGACCTGCCTCTTTCCCCAAGCACTGGGCTGGGTTGGAAATGAGTTTAGCAAATGTAGAGTTGATAGGATATTGTGGTGCTGTGGTTGTAAGTATGATGTCTTTTGGGAGAAAGTTATATTTTTTCTTTTTGTTTTTTCTTTTTGATGTTGGTATGAGCTGCCTAGCATTATCATGCATAAGATAAGTGGCCACATAAGTTTTGTAAATGAATAAATGAGTCACAATCTGCATTACTTATGAACTATACTTTCTCCCTTTTTATGAGAATCTAAATTTTACACTGAGAATGGGTAATCTTTGGAAAGGGAAGGGTTACATTCAGTATTTTTATATTATATTTTACACTCAACATTATATACAAATAAATGAATAACAAATTTTGTGTGGGTTGAGGGTTGCAAAATTGGTGGCATTACATGACATGGGAATGATTGGTTTTGTGGAGGAATAGGAATGGGTTTTTTTAAAGACAAGTAGTGTATAGAATGCAAGAATTGGACCCATCCCTACATGTGCATATCCCACAAGCACATACCTTTTTAATTATTCATCTTTCTTAGTTATTCTTTTTCTTAGATATCAACTGTGAATTACGATAGGAAATTAGCAATCTGGCCTGGCCCTCTGTTAGTTGACAATCAGTGGCTAATGAGGTCAAAATGTTTGGTTTTCTGTTTTTAATGGTGGCAAGAAACAGTGATCTGTTAAATGCAGGTCATGTAAATCTATTGGTCAGAGGTAAGATTTAATTGGGGGACTTTACAGGGCATGCCTTTTGTATCTAAGGTTGAACATTATTCTTTCATAGTATAGACATTAAAAATATTATTTTCATAACATATTTATTAATATAGAATATTCTTGTAATGGCCAAATGTGATTGGACGCACAAGGAATTTGTCCCCAGTGCATAAGTTCTCAGTGTACATACAAACAATAAAATGATAAAAATAAGATACCAATAGGAGAAGGTAATAGGAAAGATGAAAAGGATAATATTAATACAGCCCTACTACATGGGTAAATATCCTTAGGCATAAGATAATGCTGTGGAAATTAAGTCTTTAGTAGAGTGATGGCATGAGGAAAAAGACTAGTTGTTTTGGCATTCAATGCCCTCTAGTGGCATCCCAAGGGAAGGAATTGAAACAGTTTATATCCAGGATATGAAAAGTCTGTAGATATTTTCTCAGCCCTCTTTCTGGCTCATGCAGTATATAGATTTTCAATGGAAGACAAGCTGGTTGCAGTTGTTTTTTCTGTAGTCTTGACTACCTGTACCTGTCCTGTTTGGCTGCTGTACCAAACCACAGTTATAAAAGTACAAATGACAGATTCAATAATTCGTCTGTAGAAGTGTATCAGCAGCTCCTTGGGCAGTCTGAGCTTTCTGAGTTGATGCAGGAAAAACATCCTTTGTTGTGCCTTTTTAATGATGGTTCTAATATTAGGTGTCCATTTCAAGTCCTGGGAGATTATAGAACCCAGAAACGTGAAGGTCTCTACTGTTGATACTGTGTTGTCTAATATTGAAAAAGGTAGTAGAAAAGGAGAATTCCTCCTAAAATCCATTGTCATATTTACATTTTTAACTGTTCAGCTCCAGATTGTTCTGGCTGCACCACAGGACCAGTTGTTCAATCTCCTGTCTGTATGCAGACTCATCATGGTTTCAGATGAGGCCAATGATTATTATATCATTGATAGGACCAATATATTATATCATTCATATGACCAATATATTAAATTATGCCTTGCAAATTTTTCTCCTCCAGCATAGATTTAACAGTATCTCATCTTTTTCTTATTGTTCCAGGAGACAAAGATGGCAGCAAAGTGACTACAGTAGTAGCAACTCCTGGACAAGGTCCAGATAGGCCCCAAGAAGTTAGTTATACAGACACTAAAGTGATCGGGAATGGATCTTTTGGTGTTGTTTATCAAGCCAAACTCTGTGACTCAGGAGAGCTGGTTGCCATTAAAAAAGTTCTGCAAGACAAGAGATTTAAGGTAAAGAGATAAAAAATATTATTAAGAATAACTTCTGTCCTTCTCTTTCATTCCTTTCTGATTGATTTTTCTCCAAATAATAAATATATTATATACATTGATATTTCAAATATAGTCTGGTGCAAAACAAACCTTGTGCTGAAATATAATGTATTTTTAATTTGATAGATGGACAATAAATAAAGAAAAAGAAAAATTGACTGATTTAGTGTTTTTATTTTAGTCATAAAGATGAAGGTTTCCCCCCAAAAAACTGAATGTGATTGCTTAGGGAAACTAAATTAATAGGATAATTTTAATAGAATAATTTTACAACAAGCATTCAGTTACTATTTTATAGAGAATTTGTTGCTGGGTTCTTGCTTTGCACTAGAGCACAGTTTATTTTCATTGTGGTCTATTGAATAACAGTTGGTTGAGTTATTTAGTGCATTGAGTTCTAAACCATGGTTTACAAAGTATAATGGCTGAGGTTGTGTAATACTTGAAACTTATACATATAAATAGATAGCTATTTATAATGTGATTTAATATGTATAAGTTTTAAGTATTGCACAAGCATGGTTTAGAACTCAATACATTAAATAACTCAACTAATTGTTATTCAGTAGACCACAATAGCTAGCTATTTATAATGTGATTTAATATGTATGTTTCAAGTATTGCACAACCTCAGCCATTGTACTTTCTAAACCATGGTTTAGAACTCAGTGCACTAAACAACTCAACCAATTGTTATTCAATAGACCACAATGAAAATAAACTGTGCTCTATTTGTAATTTTACATAAGGTTTTATTTGGAAATGGCTTTTTTAAAACTTCTGTTCTTGGTTTATATCCAGCTAGAATGGCTATTAGTTTACAAACACCAAGTAGCACTTAAGATGCATTTTTATTCAAGTACATGAATTTCTGTATCTTATTCTACAAAAGCTGAGATAGTGAAGTTTCAAAAGAAGTGCCCAGAAGTTAATTTTTCAAAAAGCAACCTGGCATGATATTTTTAAAATTAAGGTTTGGTTATTTGGTTATTTAAGGTTTGGTTGGTTTATTAATTTATACTTGGTTATTTTTGAGTAAGTCTTCTTAAATTTAATATTATAAAAGAAATTACATATATACATACAGCTGGACAGGTCATTTTGGGCAACAAATTCACCCTCATGATGTATGGAGAATTCCAAGTGAAAGCATCCCCAGAATTGTCTTTGTTCTTCGTTAAAACACAGTCAGTGAAGAGGAGCTTGTCACTTCTGTACTTAATTAAATTCATCATTGAACTGCTTTTATTGTTAGAATATTTTTCCCTAACATTCTGCCAGTATTTGACTTCTTTTAATTAAAATTTATTGATCTGGAATGGTATAGAACAAATTTTGAGTGTCTTCTGACGACATTGTTTTAGATGCATGAAGGATATTTACTCCTCTGTTCTCAAGGCTATTATTCCCAAATGTTATTCAGAAGTATTGTTGCCAAGCCAGGTCTCCCCCAATAAAACCTTTCATTTCCATTTCTTGAGTGAAGAAATTTGTATTTGTCTTGATTAAATCTTGCTCTGTTATTTTTGTGTGTAGAACCATAAAGGAAGTAAAGATGATCTAATACAGCGGTTCTCAACCTATGGGTCGCGACCCCATTTGGGGTCGATCGACCATTTTTCGGGGGTCGCCAAAGGCGGCGATCCGCCATTTTCTCCCCTCTGGGGGCGGCGCCGCGTGTATGCGCCGCGCATGGGGGCGCTGCTGCGCGTGCGCGCCGCGCATGGGGAGACGCCCCCATGCACGCCGCACTGCGCATGCGCATACCATTTGTGTGACGGGGGTCGCCGTTACACAAAGGTTGAGAACCGCTGATCTAATAGATCCTACAATAAATGGGAAGTTAAAGACCATAAGATTTAAGATTCCTTACAACCATAAAGTTGTAAGGAATCTTAAATCTTATGGTCTTTAATTTCCCATTCATTGTAGGATCTATTAGATCATCTTTAACAGATGACCATTCAGCTTCTCTTTGAGGAGTTTTCTAGCAAAGTAGAACTCACCACTTTAAGCAGTAGCCTGTTCCACATACTGACATTTTATATAGTCAGGAAGTTCCTGTGTTACTTAAATTTACTTCCTTGCATTTTCAATTTATTGGTTCTGTCTTTCCTTTTGAGGCAACAGTGAATGCCCACTTTCTCTTTTTGTGACAACCTCTGAACATATTGAAAATTGCTATCATATCTCCCCTTGGTTGTATTTTCTATAGCACAAGTCCCCAACCTTTTGGGCACCAGGGACCAGTTATGTGGAGAGAGATTTTTTTGCGGACTGGAGGGGGTTGGTTTTGTGTGCTGCCTGCATTCCGCAGATGGGGCTCTGCTTGTTTGCTGACATGCCACGGACCGGGGGTTGGGGACCCCTGTTCTATAGGCTACACATGGTAGAGTCTTTGGCTGTTCTTCATCAGGTTTGTTTACTGATCTCTCAGTTTCCTGGTAGTCTTCTGAACCTGTTCCAGTTTGCTACCCTCATTTTTTTAATGGTGGTGCCCAGAGTAGACTTTAAATAGGAATTTTAATAAGGCAGAGTAGAACAATCACTTCCTGTGATCTGAATTCTGCATTCCTGTTAATGCTTCCCAAGTTGACATTTGCCCTATTCGTAGTATTATAGTGCTGTTGGCTCTTGTTTAACTTGTAGTTGACAAGGACATCCAGATTCTTTTCATATATATTACTACTAAGCTAGGTCTCCCACAGCCTTTCATTTTCTTTACCCAAATTTGGAACTTTATATTTTAGACATTTTATTCATTTCAGTTCATTGCTGATTTTTTTTCTCTCTCTAATAATCCATCCCAGCTTTCTCTCATAAACTTAATGGGTTACCTTCAATTCCCTTATCCAAGCAATTGTGCTTTATTTATGTTATAATAAGCTAACCCTCCCACCCAATTTTGTGTCATAAGAAAATTTGATAAAACATTTCTTTTATTTCTTCATTTGAATCATTAAAAAGAGTTCAAGAGAATACATCGTGGACCAAACTTTGATCTTCCTTTAAGGAACCATTGACTACTTGATTGTTTGAGCTAACTGTTGATTCACTTAATTGTCATGGCATGCTATCTATAATTAACAAGTCAGGTGATGTGATGAACTCCTACAATTCCTGCAATTTATTAAGTATAAAACAGTGAAACAAAGTTCATATGATTAACATGTTTTTGACAAATCCTTACTGACTTACGATAATTGTGCATTGTTGTTAAGTTGCTTAGATTTGTTCAGTTTGTGATCTACTATGGAATATTCCAGGTATAAGTATCACATTCAGTGATGTGCTCCGTGGATTTTGCCCTCTTTCTACCATCTGATACTTTATTTATTCTCCAGATATCTTAGAGATAATACATAAAGATTCAAAAAACATTATTGTTCCTAGGATATACTTAATCTAATCTTGGAGATTAAAACTGATTAAAAGTTAGGAAGTATTAATCTTATTGTATTTCTGTGAATCTTAACCTTCAATTTTATTCCTTCACCTGAAGAAACTTTTAGTGTTTTACCTACTTCCACCAAAATATATACCCTTTTTGTTTATGCTTTTACTAAAGTTAGAACCGTTCTATTAGTAAATAGCAGAATCTTGGTAGTTAAAATAGCAGTATAAATTGTATTATACTCTCAGCATTTTCCAGATTGCTTTGATTATCCTAATTTTCAAATAGGGAGATATAGCACACACAGACCTGGAATACTGTCTCAATCTCTGGGGCAATCCATATAATTGTTTTATTTAGATGTTGCATAACATCTACTGTTATTGACATTATTTTCACATAATAATGCTAGTAACAGGCTCTGGTTATTATCCTGAGTCCTATGACTGGCCTATTCTTCCCTGGCCATTGCTAGCTGCTGCTTCAATGATAATTGTTAGATTGGAATGCTTTACCTTCCAACTGTTACATCAGACAACTTGGGAGAGTAGCCCAGCTTCAACTACAATCTTTTTGGCCTGATTTTCCTGGGAGTCTAGGGATAGGGATAGATGGAATTTTGGTGAAGTGTGATGAGCAGATGCTGGTGATCCACTTCAGTAGGCCTTCCTCCAGATTGCTGAATACTAGAGGTAGGGGCAACTTGTGGATATTTGTACTGGGGTGCACTAGATGTGAGAATGGAGCATGTTGTCCAGTTCTAGGTGGGCATTGAGATGGGCAGAAAAAAAACTGGGAAGGGAAGAGGGCAAGTAGTTCCATCATTGTTGTGACCAAGGAGGAAGATATAGTGGGAGGTTGAGGGTGGGTCACTCAAAGGGGCAACAGGACCAGTGTTAAAACTTGTCCTGCCTTCCAGACCTCAATATTTATCCTGGAAGCCAGGTCATTGGATCCTTGGTGGCCCTGGACTCCAACAGCTGCTTCTGAATGCCAGACGGGTATGTAAAGACCTTCTTCATCCATGACTTAATTATGGATGAGGCAGCTGATCAGGCATGTATAATTGAGACCTGGGTGAGTATGCAGCAGGGGTGCCCCTCTTAGAGATATGCCATCTGAATTTGGAGTCTGGCATCAACTGCCACTCTAGTACAAGAAAATATGGTACTTGTTATCCAGGAAGCCTTGATGTTTTCATAGGTTCTAGTCTGCACCTAGTTGCATACGAGTCTCTGGTTGAAGATGATTTTAGGAAACAACTGAGTTTGTTATTGCTATACTGGCTTCTTCTTTACAGCAACATCCTTGCCTGAGTTGATAGATTCTGTTGCTAGGTTGGTGATGGAATCCCCAAGGGTTTCTTGGGCCTTGGGGGTCTTAATCTCCCCCTGGGTGATACTGAATGATAGGCAAGTCAGGAGTTCACATGCACCATAGTGACTAAGGATCTGACTCAGATAACTGAAAGTTCAACGTATTGGGGGTTGCACACTAGTTGTGGCGTTTATCTTGGAGCAGTTGCAACATGATCTGCATATAGAAGATGTTATCATAGACTCTC